AGAAGGACAGTGAAGCAAAAGATTATCCAGTGCACGACGAGCAACAAAAACAGGAGCTGAATGCAAGCTACAATACACTGAACAAAAGAGTGAAGAAAAGTGCCAGGGAAGACAAAAGAAAATATTATGAAACCATGGCAAACGAAGCAGAACAAGCTGCAGGCAAAGGAGACCTCGCCACACTCTACCAAACAACTAGGAACCTTTCGGGCAAACGTTCGACACAGATTAAGCCAATAAAGGACGACAATGGAAAGTCAATCACCAAAGAGGTGGAACAGAGAAAGCACTGGGTTGAACACTTCAAAAGACTTCTAAATCGTCCGCCACCTACAACACGTCCAGCAATACCAACAACGGAAGCAGAACTACCAGTGAACACTGACCCCCCGACGAAATCAGAAGTCCTGAATGCAATCAAGATGCTTAAAACTGGGAAAACACCGGGACCAGATGGAATCCCAGCAGAGGCTTTGAAAATAGACCCAGAGACAACAGCGGACTTGATGACACCACTACTGGAGAAGGTGTGGAAAGAGGGCAAAGTACCCGAGGATTGGAAGAACAGTTACTTATTCAAACTTCCAAAGAAAGGAGACTTAAGTCAATGTAAAAACTGGCGTGGAATTATGCTTCTGTCCATTCCAAGCAAGATACTAAGTCGCATCATCCTGGAGAGAATCAAACAAGCCCTAGATGAAAAACTTCGTCCGGAACAGGCTGGATTCAGGAGAAACAAATCATGTATTGATCAAATCGCCACTCTACGGATCATCATTGAACAAAGCTTGGAATGGCAGTCACCTCTCTATCTCAACTTCATCGACTTTGAAAAGGCCTTCGACAGCGTCGATCGAGAGGTCATTTGGAAACTACTTCGCTACTACGGGGTCCCATCGACAATTATACACCTCATCCAACAGTTATACGACAATGCTGCATGCCAAGTAATCCACAACGGGAAACTTACGGAAGCCTTCGAAGTGAGGACGGGAGTGAGGCAAGGCTGTCTACTATCACCAATGATCTTCCTGATTGCAATTGATTGGATAATGCGACAGACAACGGCAACCAACGAGGGAACAGGCATAAAATGGACTGACACAAAAGACTTGGAGGATCTGGATTTCGCCGATGATATATGTCTGATTTCCCATAAACTGGAAGATATGCAAGTGAAAAGTAACAAGTTGGCAGAAGAAGCATCAAAGATAGGACTTCACGTGAACATAGATAAAACAGAGATGATGAAGATTCCTAGCCAACATCAACAACACCAACAGACCACAATAAGCATAAATGGGAAGAACCTGAAAGAAACAACCTCCTTCACCTACCTGGGAAGCATCGTCTCAACTACAGGCGGAACTGACGAGGACATCAAAGCCAGAATCGGAAAAGCAAGACAAGCTTTCATTACTCTCAAATCTGTGTGGAGGTCAACAGCACTCAGCATCAAAAATAAGATCCGGATTTTCAACTCCAATGTGAAGTCAGTGCTACTATACGGATCAGAGACTTGGCGAGTCATAAAGAGCATCTCAAACAAACTTCAAACCTTCATTAACAACTGTCTCCGCTCAATACTCAAGATCAGATGGCCAGAAAAGATCAGCAACAGGGATCTCTGGGAGCGAACCAATCAGGAACCGATTGTGAAACAAATAGGCAGAAAGAAATGGAGATGGATTGGCCATACGCTGAGGAAACCATCAAGTGACATCACTAGACAAGCCCTCGAGTGGAACCCGAAAGGGAGGCGGCGAGTTGGTCGTCCAAGGGTGACTTGGAGGAGGTCATGCGAAGAGGAGATGAAAGCATGTGGACAGACCTGGAGCAGGGTGAAAAAGTTGTCAGAAAACCGAAGTCAATGGAGGTGCGCAGCTGAAGCCCTATGTTCCTCTAGGAACTAAAGGATACAATAATAATAATATAATAATATCTTACCCAGGTTTTCTGTAAGCAAATAACAGTAACAAGAATGACGACTGCGTTAAAGTCGTATGCTCAGTTTTACAGGAATTCCATCGTAAATATCAGAGAGAATGACATGTAAATAAATACTCAGTTTTGGTTAATTTTCCGAAGGAGACAGATATTTCCTCAAGCCATGTAAGGCGGTTGGTTAGCTGCTTGTAGTCACATAAAGTCAGTCAAGGTAAAGTAAGTGTGACTGTACAATCCCATCCTGAGATTATTGGTTCAGTCATCAAAGCCAAATGTCAACAGCTTTTGTTGAAGACCGGATGCCTTCCATTCCTTCCCATTTTCATTCAAACGGAAATATCAAATAGTGATTACTGAAGAAGGAATATTGTTTTCAAAAGGTTCTTTATCAGGTGTATCATCATATGTATCCGTGTTTTGGTGCTAGAATACTCAGTGACCACACACGTTGTCTGCTGTTTGATCCTCGTATAACTCGATCCTTACCCGCGCCTCACCCGTAATAATCCCGTTAAAGTGGGGAGGTTGGGTATAGGGGCTAGCAACGCCACCTCATGAGGAAAAGCAACAAAGCTACTGAAACTTCAAAGCTTCAAGCTTGAACCCACAGGTTCCACTGGGAATACAAATGATTAAAATAAGACACTAGACGAGGATATTCAGATACGTTAGTTTGAAAAAACTATTGGAAAGTGTTTCACGAAAATACAAAACAATTTTCAGATATGATCTACCCTTTCCTAAGGCTATGTGAAATTCCTGAAGTGATCAAGTGTTCCGAATATTCGACAAGATGTTGTGGATCTTTTTCATGTCTCCCTCATTTCACAGCGAGATTTCTCCTTATCTAACACACATTCAGCAAATATTTCTTTCTCACATACAATCACATTTTTTTCTACATTTTCTACTAAGCACAGATACAGGTATAGATTATGTTAGATCAATTTTCTGATGAATGAAAATCCTAACAACCGAATGGTTTATAAGCCTTAACGAGAAATTATGTTTTAAGTTGCTTCGAAGTAGAGAATGACGCATATGATTGCGTAATGAGAAAATCTTACCCAGTTTCTCTGTAAACAAATAACAATATGAATAACTTTGAGTGAGTTTGACGGAGCATTCTTCGGTTAGAAATCGTTTGCATTCCGAAAGTCAAACACAAACAGGTACATAAACATAACTAGTCTAGGGGTGTTTTAGCAATAGAGATTATGATGATCACAGATCAAACGTGTTTCTAATAGAATCATTAGCCAACTAATACTTTTCATCCTTGGTTACATATTGCATGCTGGTCATAATGACTAGAGTTAAGAACAAATCCCTGATTGAAATATCACCACCGACTAAATGAAAGCCGAAATTCAGGCGATTCAAGCCAACCAATGAGCGATTGAAGATAATTGTGGTAATTGACATTTTCATTCACACAATTGTGTTTGTATGTCAATGAACATTACAAATGATGCAGATGAATACGGAATTCTGACTTCTGTCATCTCCATTTTATGGTTTGGTTTATGCGATATGCGGTGACTGTGGATTGAAATTAAGAGGAAATATCTCAATAATGTGTGCGTCGGTGGTATAGCGGTTAGCACGCTCGCCGACCATGCATATGGTTCGGGGTTCGATCCCCGGCCGGCGCACTCCTTTACCCCACTGAGCCAGAAATAATGCTGGTAAAGAGGAAAGGTTGGGCATGAGGCTAGCGACCCCATCCTGTAAAAATTAAACACTGCTACAGAAACTTCAAGCCACTAGCTTGGAGCCCTATGTTCCACTGGGAACGTGAAGGAAAAATTATTTAATTATTATTATCTCAATAATATTATTTTGGTATTTTGCGTCCTTATTATTTTACAGTTACTTTTCTCCTTATCTCACACATATTCAACAACAATTTCTTTCAGATTACAAGATTTCTGTCGATTTAGAAAAGCTTGTCTTGCTACGTTTTGTTACCAAATAGGACTTCAAAGACTGTCGGAAGGGTCAGTGGTGTTCTTGTGACTCAACTAACTGATATTTTTGCTGGTAGGCATTCAAATTCTTGAAAGCAGTTGAATGAAGTTATCTTGTCTGATACAGAACATCCCCCAAATTTTTTTACTTTCCCCTTGTGTCTCATTGGATGAAAAGCGGGAGAAGAAATTTCATGAGAATTTATGCTCCTACAGCAAAATATAAAATCTCAACCACATTCTATTCAGCATGAATGTTTTTTGTGAAGGAGAAAATGTCAGAAAAGAACATATGAACTATTGAAATCAGTAAACAGACACTGAATTATAAAACAGGAATTATTATTACATGTATCACTCATCATACTGTTTATCTGTTACTCATCATGTTCCACTTACTTTCAGTTTTTGTAGTTTTATTGCTTTTACTACATAATGCACTTATATACTTTATATATTCTTTATGATATATTATATAGAAGGAGGAGATTTTTGGGGCATTTACAAACACTGAGAAATCCGTTCTATATTATGATTACTGTTTAAAGTAAAGCGATTTTATTATTGTTATTATTATTACTACATTACATCTTGATTTCTCCTCATCTTACACTTATTCAGCAAGTATTTTTTTCGAGAATGAGGGATTTCTATTCAAGTGTTAGTTTGGAGGGAAATAACTGGTTGAAGAATTTTATCATGATCTGATATCAATGAGAGAACTATTATAAACCTGCGAGTACTAGACAGCTGTTTCGTGCTAGTTTGCAACTCTTCAGCGGTACTCACCAACCGGTGTTCGAGCCCAGGACATTCTGACTAAAAGGCGAGATAGTAGACCGATAAGCCACTGAGAACTGATCCAATGGTCTATGAATTCCAACTACAGGCAATTTCCGACATAGCCCGACCGCTAGTCAATGTTAATAGCGAGTATTTGTCCTCACCACCGTCCCAAACTAGAACGAGACAGCTGCTCAGTACTCCCAGGCTTTTCAATCAATCTCTAACCAATGTCAGCTCATGATGAAATCCCGTAACCAGTTAATCAAACCCTTACAAACCAATACTTGAAATTCATACCTGCTTTGAAATGAAGAGACGACGATAAAGTTGAGTATGGAGAAAGGTCTAACCCAGTTTTGCTGTAAACAAATTGCAGTGGAACAAGGAAAAGTAAGACTGACATCAACTAATTAATATAATATGAGTTATATCAACAAAATAAAGTAAAATGATGTGTAATTAATGACTCATCTTGTGTTACTTTAATAGAAAAAGAGAGAGTCTCATGCTTTCTCAAACCATATAGGGCAAATGATTCATTATTTGCGGTTTTACGATGTTAGTCAATGCAATTTAAGTGGCTGTGCAATCTCATCCTAAAAATACTAGGTTGGCTGTCTTATGTGATTCACGGAAGCTTCTTTTCATAGGCAATTTACCTCTCATTCCTTTCTATTGTCGTATAAATGGTAATGGCCAAATACGTTTGCTTTATCAGACTGTCCGACAAATTCTTGGTTCACATCCATCACATTTTCATATATAATCTCTGCTTTATTAACGTAGCTATTGGTTTTAGGTTTTGATGCAATGACGTGGATTTTATTCATTCCTTTATCATATTACACAGTTCACATGTCAATCTTATACATGTGCGAGAAATATTTCTTCCTCACCTAAAACTGTACCTTCTACATTTCAGCTAAGAACGAATGGGTGTGTAAGTCATGAGTTTCAATTACTCGATTTAATGAATGAAAACTCAAACAATCTAATTGTTTAGCAACTGAAAATGTGCCTAGCTGCCTATAGGGGAAGAAACAACTATACATTCGAGTATGAAAGAAAATCTTACCTGGGTGAGCTGTTCGCAAATAACGGTAACAAGCGCGATCAGTTAGAGTGACGTCGTATTCTTGAGATAACATGGATTTCGTTATAAGAGTCAAATACAGAGAAGTATAAAAACATAATAAATCTTAGTTGACCTTAGCAAGGAGATAGATATTTCCCATAACAATCAACGTGACTACTGGGAACTCTGATAACCAGTTAGCTGACCTATTTCGAATTGATCTTAGTCCACCTCACATTTCGCATCTCTGGTTACTTGGTGCATGCTGTGTGTGCCTGATAAGTAGGAATAAAGATGAATTAGTGATTGAATTATCGATACCAGGTGGATGAAAACGAAAATTCAGGTAATGTAGGCGAATGAATACGAAATTTCAAATAATTGTAGCAGTTGAGATTTTCCACCAAACATCAAGTGCCAAGCTGCCTTGAAGTGAATAGGGAAGCATACTATTGAATATGAAGTAAAATCTTACCCAGGTGTGCTGTAAACAAATAACAATGAAAACAAGAATAAGTGAGATTGATATCGTGTGCTCAACTCAGAATGAATTCGATTCCTAAATTGAATAGAATGAAGTGTGAACGAGGCTCAGTTTTGGTCTACTATTTCATGAAGGTTACAGATACTTCCTGAAACTAGGTGAGGCAACTGGTTAGTTTTTTGCGTTAATATAAATTTAGTCAACGTAATGTAAATGACTGAACGACCGCATTCTGAGCATCCTGGTTTGGCTGTCATTTGTAAATCTCAATAGATTTCGAAACAGGTGAAATACTTTACTCTTTCTCATTTCTTTGTAAATCGAAAAGGCCGAATAGATTTCCGCAGCCTGATTGTTCAGAATATTGGTTTCTCACGGTCGTAACATTTTGACAATATTATCCCTACTGAGCAACGCTATCCAAATTTAACCAAAGTGAGTATTTGGTTTTACGTTTTGTTATGTAGGATCACATCCCCTATATTTTCAATAGGTAAAACATTCGTGAATGGATCATGATGCTCAATCCTTGTTTTATTAAATGAATATTCAAATAACCTAATATCCTACAACATTCATCTTGGAATTAAATGTGATGCTACTTTAAAGTGTAGAAAAAAGCATATGATTGAGTATGCAGGATAATCTTACCGAGGGGGTGTAATTTCTTCACTTGTGGTCTGGCTGTAATCTGGCTCAAAATTTTTGAATTCGGCCAAATTCGTCCTTTGAAATTTACCAGTATATAAGAGATCTATTTGATACAATTGCTGTTCACCCTTATCAGCTCCTTGTAAGCAAACTAAACGACCTCCTCGAGTGAGTTGCATTTGTAACTGAGATATGTGGGAAACAAAATGGACCACATAATAGATCGGGGTAACTATTTGGTTATTGTTATCAAAAAAACTTGAGTGGAACTGTGTGACGTGAATTCAGTACATACTCGAGATATGACCTACCCTCATATTCACATGGATTCATTGGTTTGATAAGTGACATAAGTCTGTTTTAGAAGTGTATGGTGGCAATTAAACTCCACTTCTCTCTCCAATAATGACCATCTCACTGAAACCATTCACTTTCAATGCAATATCATGGATGATAATTATGTATGAGTTTAGCCATTTAATACTTAAAAGAACTGCTTCTGAGATGTGCTTTTAACGTCTGCTATAAGTTCAGTGACTGTGTACAGATAAAAAGGCGAATTGACAGTAATCTTATCACTGGGCTTGATACTTTCAGATTGCTTTATGGAAAGTCGAGAAGATAACATGTTGTGATAAACTATTGAGAGATTTTGTATGAACAAAAGATACATGGATACCTTCATCATATAGGATTTAGGTGTTGATAACATGGCTTTGATGAACGAGTTCAGCAACTCAGATCGATCAGTGAAGTTAAAATCCGAAACACAGATCAGCGCGGAATTTCAAATTCCAAGTGGTGTATTGATAAGATGATCTGCAGGAAGTCACAATGAAATTACAAATACATAAATTTTCACGACTGAACTACTTTGAGGAGAGAACGAAACAAGACGGATTCCCTACCTTCGGGAATAAGAACAGTCTTCACTAATGATATAAAGGAAAGTTAAATGGAGAGAGTTTGTCTAATCCCTAAATAAACTCGATAGCTTACAAAATTTATCGGTGAACATAACAGAGTAAAGTGGCGGTCTGAAGGAATTCACGTAGCTCGAAAGTAACTGGAACTTATGAATAGGGAATTTGGAAGCGGTGATGTGGCTGAGATTCTGTGACGCAGTTTTATTGGCATCACAAAGCCAACAGGTTCCTAACGTGCCTCAGAGCACTATTCAGACTTGTCATTAACTGCATAGTAACCAATTTTTGCGTGAACGGTAAACTAAGGACGCGTAGCTGCACTCGAGTTGTCTTGAAAATTATCTACAAAATAAGGCAGAACTGCAGGAAGAAAGTCAGCTCACCACGTCATTCTGTGACGTGAGACTAGCGATTTATCAACTCAGTCCCTAACTCTGTGAAGACAGGAAGTTTGTTCAGCCTGTGATTCCACTATTTTCTTATTTATTTTCCTCCTCTTTTAGCATGTTTCTTGCCATTATCACTCTATGCATGTTCATTTTGTACTTTTGGTCGTTAGGCTTTTGTTTTCATCATTATCGACTAACCAATCCCACCCAAAAATGAGTTTCAGGACTTCACCTTGATAATAATGTAATTTTTCTTATTTGCAGAAACCACATCTGAGTAATTGTATCAGCAATATCTGTACCCATATTGCTGAAAATCAGACTACTAAACGTTATGGTATCTATTTACTGCAAATTACAGACATAACTGTTGCAGTAAAGTTTACACCATTATTATTCATTTGTTTCCACTGAATTCTCGTTGAAACATACAGCATTGATGTTTTTTTACGGGATAGGTTGCTAGCCTCACATCCAACCTTCTGTGTTTGCCTGGCTTACACAACTGGCTAGGCACTGGTGGGAAATCGAACCCTCATTTGGCACATAACGTTCTTCTAGTCATCATGAACTGCTTATTTAAAAGCTGTGGATCAAGATTTCATAGTTAATGAAATTAAAAATGTTTCTACAACCTTGATAAAGTCAGTTTCTGCCGTATCAATAGGACCTGTGAGATTCAGTCGGAAATTCAAAAAACTCATAAAACCGCTGCTGACGCTTAGAAAGGCTTTTCTTCGGAATGAGTTATACTTATGAGTGAGTTTTACGAACTCCCATTCATTAATTTGTCGTCAAATTTTGTTGATGAGTTATCTGACTAGACTACGACACTGTAATATTACGCACATGACTTCCAGTAAGGTCGTGAAATTCTCGCTTGGTAAAGATATTTTGGTCACTGTCGGTGTGGCTTGATTAGTTTTCATCTAACTGCAAAAACAAGTATACTCTCGTATGTTCTATTGATAAAGTTACTACGAATTAGTGAGGCATGAAATGTAAAATAGATAAGTGAATAAAGTGAGTACTTATAATTTCGATAAGACTACTTTTCTTGATCACATACAAAAGGAATTTTATTGGTTCCATAATACTGATATAATACTATTGTATATGTACCAACGAGATGAGATATGTATCTTAGGCTAATGGACATCTGTATTCGGTGAATTAGATCACTTTAACATTCTTGTTAGCCCATGTATCAGTAAGACAATCTTTCTCTTACAACATCAGTTCTCTTCAGAACTTAAACACAAATGTAGACAAGTGGTTAAGATTTATTAAGTATGAGTGCATACAAATGTATATCGACTCACCTGGTACACATCACTTCCATGAGTTGAACGAATATAAATAGCATTATATCTTGTATTGAGTAACATTTTGTTTAGCGCATCATCGGTTATAAGTTTAATTTGCTTCCCCACCTCCAAGTGATACGTATTATCTATTTTCTCATCCTTCAACCAGTTTTTGATATTCGTTGTAGCATGTGTACGTAATTGATTATCATGTAGAGAGGATACTGTGACACTTTTTTCCCCTGCCTTTAAGAAAAGAAAGAGTGTGTAAGACTATAGACCTGTCTGACATTTATTAACCAGATTAACATCATTCTAGAGGTCAGTTATACAGAAAGTTCCTTTTATGTACTAACAGAAGCAAATAAATCTGTAAACGTTTCTAGTTGAATGTTTATAAATCATGCACTCCAAGTGTGTATGCGACTCAGAACTACACTTCTGTGAACACTCTGATCTTCTGTTCTTTCAATGTTGCGTAAATGGAATAGTCAGAATCGATATCCTCCTAACTATGAAGAATAAGGTTGTTAGATAAATTGTAAAATGTCATCAGCGTAGAAGATTTAGTGGTTGCTCAAATACATTCATTGACCGAAGAAACTAATTTATCATGTCGAAAGTACTTCTTTGTGACAGATAAAAAAAATTTACCCTGATATCAGTTGATTACACAGTTCTTAACTGAGATGTGCTTTATCGTGTGTGGCTTCAGGTATCTGAACCTCATTGTATCTGTTGTATTTAATCAGCTTGCAATAATTACCACGTAAATGATACACAGGTAATATATCAACTATTTATTTTGGAATAAAGATTGACAGCTTGTATAGAACAGGGACTTTTTGCAGCAATGAATGGTTTTAAGTGAATTATTATCAAACACTGTGTTTTCATGATGACTTCACCGCTGAAACCATGCCACAGGAAGACATGTTGCATTTGCTCTAAGCACTTTCCTTGCCTTTCGAAACGGCCGGATGAAATTAATCCTTCATGGATCTGATAGATAAACCCCATTATACAATAAATATAGTATATCTCACTGAACTAAGTGATAACGTATATGATGGCGATACAAACAATTGTGTTATTACATAGGCCCATGTTTTAATAAACATTTCGTCAAATCTATGAGTATAAAGAAGGAAGTCAACAAAGATTTATCTTATTTAGTCAACAATGCGTGTTTATAGTGAGTGATAAATGGTAACCAATTGTGAAGGTTTTCATGTCACAAACCAGATGCTGATTACTAGTTTGAATATCAGTCAGATAACAGTCTTCCTCAGATGAGTGAGGCATTTCGGAGCAGTTGAAGTTAAATAATTAAGAACAACCTATCCATAAAACCATTACCAGTAAGAACACCAATTAGCTAAATTGTGTGTGTACACTTTCTGAAATCTAACCCCCTCAAGGAGCCAAAGTGAGAACAGAAGTTGATTATAGTGTTACCAAGACTGAAGTGGCCCAAAATCGTTCTCATTGGCGCAAATCCATCCACTCTTTGTGACTTATGATTTCCAATGAAACTGTTTTGTTCTTCGTTATTACTATTCCTTTGTCTCAAATCTCTGTTTGCTGTTTACTGTCTCTAATATGCATTTCTTCAACTTTCTCTTTCTTCTCTTGCTTTGTGTGCTACATGGAGTGTGGCGACTTAAACTGCCGCACATATGTGCAAAGTTCTATGTCAAAAACAGACAGGCAGAAGTTGGGATAGAATTAAGGGTCTATAACAACCTTCCAAAATGAAACCACAATAAACCAAGATAAAAGCACTGTCATATTTCAGTGAAGCATACTTACCATAAGCGCTAAACATGCTGTCATGTATCCAGTGCCTTGTTCAATAACTAAAATGACTGATCCAGCTCTGATGGTGCCACGCAGTGCAGCCAGAATAGATGCATGCTGAATTAGGGAAGATTAAATCACAATTATTTAGCACAATTATCAAAATATGTAAACAAAGGCGAATTTGTGCTCCATGACAACCCAAAACAGTACGTTAAAGGAACCATTACATCTCCAGTTTGTTCGTCATTATATACAAAACTAGATTCAGCATAAAGCAGAGAGTCAATTTAGCACTACGCATGACTTATGTAAAATCATTACAAGACTGAGAAAACACATTTTCGTATGAACATGTAGTCAATGTTGACCACTGAAAACCGCATGTGTCTATATATCCTAGCAGCTAAATCGTCCACATTTGGGTCTTCATGTCCACTGTGTCAGCAATAAAATTATTGTAGAATTTAAATTATTCCGCTTAATTCAGTGATGAATGGATAGTTGGTTCATACTTTCTGTATTTAGTCAAATAGATATCACCTTATTGTTATTGCTCACTGATACTACACCCACGTTATATACTACATATCCAGAGTGATCAAACATGGGGTCCAAGCGAGTGTGAACGCTTAAGATACGCACTTCACTGTCTTCAGGATTTATTAAGCGAGAAGTGGTTCACTGAAATGAGTCCGCTGAGTTTCCCCCAAGTAGTGTATAACTATGCGCGGTAGATTTTATATCATTTCTATGGCGTCATTATATAATAAGTAGAAAAAACACTGAATGCCAAAGACTGTCCAATTGACAGTTGTGAAGTCAAAACTTGAACTCACTTACATATTATACAATTTGCGAAATTCACCACTTTGGATTTAGAAAATCCGAATCAATACAAGAAAATGACCATGGGGAAAGACTATATCGCTCTGAAGAGGCAGCTGTTAAAATAATAAGCTGGAGAAAATTCTAATTGCTTATTATTTTTGAGAGAATTAAAAGATTGCCAGCCAAAAGAGCCAAAGTTGTTGATTAATCTGAAATACGCCAGAACGTATGAGCACATATCAAAATCAAAAACAGTCGAATAATCTCCACAACAGCAACAAAACCTCTGAACTCCATAAAGCGTACTAATAGCTAATAGTATTTTTATTTTCTAGCAAATACAAATGTCAGTCAGAAAAGGGCTCTTTGTAGATGCTGAGTTATATTCATATACATAAGGCAATAGATAAATAAGTTGCGCAAATACCCCTTTGTTAACAGTGAACTCACTATATAAGGGGCTGGGAATATAACACTGTTGGGAGTGCGACCAATGTCAATTGATTTTGACCGATTTTCATATGTGTCCGTAGCAACAAAACATCTACGATCCACATTCTTCATAACCGTTCTCACTGATTCTGACTTAAGGAAGCCTCCTTCTGCGTCGAAATCCGCAGTTAATTAGAAGTACTACATACCCTCTAAATTTTTTATCATTTGGAGATGTTGTTTCCCATCACTCTGGCAGGCTGTTGCACAGCTCAGAAAATGCAAAATGATGGTAATTTCTAGGAAATTTCTGTGATTTTTCGCGAGAGCCATATCGTCTTCACTTGACCTGCGCGAAAATGCTAGTGTTACTGTCGAAAATCCGCCATCGAGTGTACAATATCCAATATTCAATTGTGGTATAATCCAATATCCAATATCCTGATGACGAGCTAGTATAAACCAGTGATTTCTTTGAGCTCGCTTCTTGATTGTGAGGTAGAGGTTCCAGACCTTCGGTGAGCTTCTGCGTAGTAAGTCCCGACACTCGACTGCTTTAGCTCTGGTAGACTCCAGGAGGAGTGGTGCGGGGATTGGTCGAGATGTGGTTTGTAGTATGCAGTATGTTAGGACTGTATTGCTGCCGTGAATGGAGTTTGACCTAACTCCCCTTGGTCATTCAGCAACAGCAGCACTATTAACAGCTTTACTATTTTCAGTAATTTTTCCCGATTCACACATTTTTTAGAGAAGTTTATATTAAAATATTCACTATTCATCTAGGAGTTTCAAGTAAATCAGCCATCTCCAGCACATCATTTGACGCAGTCTGTTAGGTCTGAGGCATAAATAATCCAATAGTGTGTTTTCCTTGGTCCCACGGAAATTCTCAATGATAAGCTGCAAAACAAAGAAAAGTTTGCTCGACCGCTCCTGCAGACCTACAGTTCAATATACAATATTGTTTTTACTGTGCGTCGGTGGCACAGTGGTTAGGACTCTGGCCGACCATGCACATGGTCCAGGGTTCGAGCCTACGCTGACGCACACCTGATATCTATGGTTGGCCTGCGAAATTTGGGCTACCGATATCCACGCTGAAAATTCTATGCCTGTACCAAAAATACGGTGTGAAATCAAGCTGTAATCAAAAATATAAAAAATATATATAAAATATAAATATAGACCAATTTGATTTCTTTGTGGTCGCTTCTTGATTGTAAGGTATAGGTTCCTGAGATTCGGTAAACTTCTGCTTAGCTTGTCCCACCCCTCGACTGTCGTATCTTTGGTTGACTCCAAAGGGAGTAGTGCTGGGATTAATTATATGTGGTTTGTAGTATGAGGTATGTTAAGACTGTTACTTCTGTGATTGGAGTTGATCCTTTCGCCAGTTAGTCCTTCGGTGTCGTCGACAAGAGAAAAAAGATAGTAATAATAATAGATATAATTAGTGAAGTTATTCAGACTAAGAGACAGAAACGGAAATAGGAAAGCGTAACAACAGTCAGCTCATTAAGTTTGAAGAATAATATATATCGCTAATACGATTAATAGCAACAGTAATAACTATAGTAATTATAATATTTATAAGTTGTCAGGAGAGTAAGACGGGAGAGAATGTAAAGAAGTAAAACGACGAGTTTAATTGTCCACCTCTGAATGGTGTATGCGATTTTAAGGAGATAGGCCATTTGGATGCAGTCCTTGTATCGCTGCATGGTTGTCCAGCCTTCGCTTAAAGGCGTCCAAAGACGGTGCCATAGCTACATCTGCCAGTAAGGAATTCCAGGGACGGCAAACCCGCAGTGAAAAGAAGTGGGAGCGCACCCGGGTCCTTGCCCTCCGGCGATCTATCCTTCTGAAATTTCCACGTGGGAGCCTATACCAACTCAATGGCAGAACACCTTTGTTTGGGTGATCCTGGTCATTTGTTATTTTATAGGCAGTAATCCAATACCCCTAAGCCTCCGGTAGCTAGGTGTGAACAGGCCTAATTTCTTCAGCCTTTCATCATATGGTTTGTTTTGGATACCAACCACTCCTTTTGTTGCCTGCCGTTGAACTCTTTCCAAGAGGTTGGCTTCTCTTCTCAGCATTGCGGGTGCAATAATATTATGCACCTCAAGGTGTGGCCTGACGTATGTTTTGTACAACGTTAGAAATAGCTCAGGAGTGAGTGCACCTAACTGTCTATGCGTAAAGTGTACGACCGCATATGCCCTCGCTACATCCCCAGTGTAATCTACGCTTGTGTCCATTTTTTCCGTTAGAACTAGACCTAAGTCGCGTTCCGACGTTGTGCAGGACAAGCTTTCATTGCACAATGTGTAACTTGCATTCTGCAGTCTACAGGCGCGCAACTTCACTACTTTGCACTTCTTCAGGTTGAAAGTCATGCTACCGGCCACCGCCCAGTCTTCCAGAAGGTTTGGATCTTCCTGTAGCCTATCTGAGTCCTCCAGACACTCCATCTCTTTCATATTTTTACGTCGTCGGGCAGCTCAGACGGCGTGGTAGATGATTGATAAAAATCAAAAACATCAGTGGTCCTAGGATAGAACCCTGCGACACTCCTGATGACGATCTGTGCCAAGATGATCGGACTCGGTTAACCCTAGTGCAAAATTGCCTGTCGGCTAGGTAGTCCTTCAACCATGATAGAAGTGGCTCATCTATGCCTGCCTGGCTTATTTTATGTATGAGAAGGTCGTGGTGAACAGTGTCAAATGCCTTCTCAAAGTCTAGGAAGACCACATGGACTGGTACATTCATAGACCACCATGGTGTCCAGTCGTCCCAAGCTGACAGTAGGTTAGTGACGCAGGATCTACCTTTCCTGAAACCATGTTGGGCTTCATGTAGTATATTAGTCCTATCGAAATATTCCCTGATGTCGTCGTCAATAATACTTTCCAGTACTTCTGATACCACTGGGAGTAGAGCTACTGGTCTATAACTAGTAGCGTTTTGCCTGTCCCCACCTTTGAAGATTGCAGGAAGGATGGCTCTTTTCCACTCCCTTGGCAGTGTCCCCGAATCCATTGAGTGTTGGAACAAGTCGCACAGTGGTCTACAGAGAGCTTCGGCGCACTGTTTCAGAACAGATGGCCTGATGTCGTCACAACCTGGGGACTTCCCAGGTGTGAGTCGCTGCAGGCTCCTAAGTACTATTGCGGGGTTTATCTGGGGATTATTCACTAGGTCTTCCTCCTCAGAAATAGTGGTGCCACCATCTCCAGACTAGTGAGATATTGACCGTTTGAGCCTACTAAGGCGCATGCCCCTTGCTTCGTCGGTTTTCTTTCCGACATGAATCGGCACAAGATTTTGGGGTTTGCTAAGAGCTTTTTAGCAAGGTAAGCCTGGAATGACCTCCTGTCCCTCCTGACTCATGCATTACACCGGTTCCTGAGTTCGAGGTATGCATCGTGGTCGGTCTGACTTTAAGATACACGTCACGTAAACCAAGCCTTCGCTTTGCTTGCAAAATACGTTGCGTGCCTCTCCAACCTCCGCATTTCAGCATGGTCAGCCTTGCTGTAACACGTAAATGGTTGCGTAACATCCCACTGCAATCGCTCACGGAGAACAAGATCAAAACCTATGACTGCATGGTCACTGCTTCCCAGAGGGGTCATGATGTGGAACTTTTCGACGAGTAGCTGGTCACTAGTTAGAATATAATCTAGTTTTGATGACTTTCCACTAGGGCCCCACCTAGTGTCGTCTCCATCATTCTCAGTCAGTCCCGTGTTTCGAATAGTTTGCAGTAGGTTTCGGCCAAATTTTCCCTTATCACACCCGGAGCCGAGGTTTAGTGATGGAGCATTGAAATCTCCAGCTATGGTGATTTGGTCGTAGCCCAAATCTCGTATCCCCGTGATAGTGCTGAGCAGTAGCTGATTGTGCTCTGCCCCACAGGTGGTAGATCGATGGATGCCACCCAGTAAGTGCTTAGTGTGGCCTACGGTGAACTGACACCATATGGAGTCTGGGAGTTCGATAAGTGGTGGGTCCGTTGCGCGCACACATTTAAGTTGCCTATCAAAGTATATAGCAAATCCCCCTCCTTCCTTATTATCCCTGTCTCTCCTGACCAGAACCATATCACCTATACTGATTTCATTGTCGGCGATAGTGGTGTTTAGCCACGTTTCAGTGAGAATGATTATTTTCAGTTGAAGGTGTGCATGGAGATTTCCGAGTTCACGCACCTTTCCCCTTAGCCCCCTCACACTGCTATATAGACAGCTGACAGTGAGTCTAATAACCTCGGCATGCTGTGGAGTAGTTGACGTGAAACTGTCTCCTGGTGGTGGACTTGATGTTGGGACTAGTTGGCCGATTCCGATAGAACCGGCCCATTGTAGTTTTTTTCAATGGATTTAGGCAGGACACTTGGGTGAATCAGACTGTCATTCTCCGACCTCAATCGCTCTAGTGTCACCGAACCTTGGGGACGTATTAAAGCCTCAGTTTGCTGCCTCCTTATATTTCGGGGTCTGCTTTCACAGCATCGGATGTGTCCTCCCATTTTTCCCTTGGTCTCATACCACCGTTGAAGTGATATGGACAACTGCTCCGGGGAGTTGAATGTGACACATAGCAGCTTTGGAGAGTTAATTAGTGTTAGATGAGCGGGATGAGGTAGTCGGAAAATGGAGATGTTTCCAGAAGCGCCAGGGGCCATCTGAGATGACAGTCATCTCCATTGCTGAACGTCGTGCATGTGTTTTTCACAAGCAGTGCCGGTTTCCAGCTCCGGAACACCGTGTACCACCATAGAGGTGGAAGGCATCAGTTCCGGTGACTCCCTCGCCATATGTTTGAAAGCCCATGGTCTATCTTGTCTTACCCTTATGTTTGAACTTCTGTCCGGGGCTAGTACCTGAGCCATTAACAGTACTTTTTCGGCCTCTTCGGCCGAGTCCAGTGTAACCCGTAATAGGGGTGGCTTACCCTGAGGCTTGTGGACACCCCTGTACAGTCTGCACAGTTTTGCTGAACTCGTGTTCAGACCTAGCTTGCTGCACAGGTTGGACCACTGTTCCTGATCAAACAGGGCCCGTTGTTCGAGCAAGCTATCCTTGCTCACAGGTACGTTGAAGAGGATGAGAGAGTTAGACCGACTACCCTCAGACTTAGGTTTGGCCTTCGGCTTCTTGCAGTCCTTTGCATCATTAGCAACATTAGGCTTCATCGGTATCTGGAAAGCCTTTTTTGTGTTGCCAGGCTTGCTAGTGGATGCAAATGGTGCTTTTGTAATTTTGCCTTCCCCTGATGTAGATGCAACCTTGCTAATCTTCACCTTGTGAAAATTGGCATTTCCAGTCAGTAGGGCTGGTGTGTCCTTCTTTAAATCTTTGACCAGTTTTGGCAGTGCAATTTTAGCAGGGGG